ATACTCGCCAAGACGGGCATTTTGACATAACTTTGTATGTATTTGACAGTTTTAGGGCAGTTATCCACTCATTTTGGTATTTGTGGCTCACAAGCTGTTTGAGACTGAGCGCGGCTTGTGCGCTCCACTAATATAGATCAGTGGTGGTGCGCGTGCTTTTGGTGTAAGCGCGAAACCTGTGGGAATGACTAAAATAATGCGCAATACAAGCACTATTTAACCGGAGCGAATGAGACGTGTGTGAGAGAGAAGGGGTCCTCGGAGAGAAGAGAGCGAGAATGCGCGGCTGACGTTATTGCCTGTGCCGCTGTACCATTAACAAAACGGATCGGCTCGGAATCGGAAAGTGAGACTGACTGGCTGGTCACCGATCCGGGCCGATCATGAGGAAAATAGTCCGATTCCGATCCCTGGCTGATCGATCGGTGCATCTCTACTTTTTACTTGCTATAAAAAGTATAAACCAGTGTTTCCCATTCATTTACCAGACTGTGGCGGCCTGCCAGTCTAATCTGTCCCGCCAGTTTCATAATAAAATTAAAATATATTTATTCTTCTCATTATAACATAAAAGGTCTTTAACATTGTGTTTTGCGCCATTGCTTTGGCTAAGTATCTGTCAAACGAACTAAAACCGAAGCACAATATCAAGTCTGTTTGTGCTGCATGTTTGAAAGCGAAGTGCACTCTTTGCTCACACGATCAGCTCGTGATTCAGCATTTTCTGCATCTCAGAGCGACTCAGTTCACAGTGAATGAATGCCGTTAACTCGATCTCTGCAGGTGCTGTCAGTTTAGCGTGCATCTGGGAACGCAACGGGCACCAGTTATGCTTTCACATTCGCATAATTTTCAACATTTTAATTGATAGTTTTCAGTCACGTGACTGGTTAGAAGACCTGGCGGGCAAAAACATCCATAGAACTGTAGCACAAGACTGTCAATTTTCTATCTGTTCCAATCCAAAAGTATTTAGATAATCTCTCAAAAGAATAAAACAAAGATATGTGAACAAAATGCAAGTTTTGGCCATTAGCAATCCATATAAAGCCAGGGCTCCAGACTGCGACCATTTTTTCTGCCGGTGCGAGTAAATTTTGTGCGCGGTCGCACATGGCGCGACCACCACGTTGTTTGTTTATCAGCTTGGACCGCGACGCACAGCGCTGCGAGATCCAGTGAGAAGTGTTTGAATTCGCCACAGAACGAATAAAGGTTGCTGTGAGATGCATTAAAATTCTGCACAGAATTCTGTTATAAACAGATCAAACAGCGCTGACGTAGAAAACAAGAAGCAGTAACGCTAACTGTAACCATGGTGTTGTGGTAGAAATAGCCAAATGTTATTACATTATTCATTTCAGGCAGGGTTTGTACAACTTGCTGAGAGAGAAATTCAAGCAATTTTCAATGACTTACAAGCATTTCACACAACTGTTGCCAGCACTTTAAAGCTCCAAAATGATTCAATTTGAATGTTATTTTCAATGGAATGACCAAAATATATTGTGGTGAACAAACACTTGTGTAAAATTATAAAAAAAAAAAAAACATCAAATCACCATTATAACCTGTAGATGGCAACAGAGGAGCACTTGTTGGCTTATTAGACATTAATTTATAGCTACTTTTCCTTTATATTTTGAAATTATAAAATAACAATTATAAAATCACTTGGCTAAAATATCAAATCATCAAGAAATCAGATTTTGACAAAGATTTGCTCTTTTTTGTGTATGAAGTAAGAAAAATCACAAAGTGCTATGAAAATAAACTTTTCTTCAATATGAGACTAAATCTTGCTGATACAGTGATGATCTCTTTAAAGTACTTTAGCACAGTGTTTCCCAACCTTTTTTTAGTCGCGGCACCCTTTGGAAATTTTAGTCAATTGTAGTTAATTTAGTGAATTGAATTTCACAATAAATGTTCTAATTTACTGTTAAATGAATGTATAGCAGTACAAGTTCACAGTAGCTCTTGTAATTTCACTCACATTCATAAACGTTTCTACTGTAATTTTACATTTAATAAGAGTACAATATATACCTTTTCTACAATAAAAATTAGATTTTGCACGTTACGGTTGTTAATAAAATAAATATCGCAAGCTTCCCAACTCAAGCTTGCTTTACTGTCAAGCAGTGTTGAACGCAGAATGCAGTGTTTTATAATCTAGAGATTGTAAAAAGGATGTAGTTAGCACATACATGTGTGCTATAGCTAACGATGAACTGCAACGATTTGAGTTAGTCATGTTTTTAGATACTTTGCTATTACACATTAAGTGTTTGCAGTTTTATGCTAAGAAATATTGCTTCTCAGTGGGCTCAAATGAAATAAGTTAACCAAATGTTTACACACTATCACAGCAGTGAAAAATGTCAATTGTAGTTAATTTAGTGAATTGAATTTCACAATAAATGTTCTAATTTACTGTTAAATGAATGTATAGCAGTACAAGTTCACAGTAGCTCTTGTAATTTCACTCACATTCATAAACGTTTCTACTGTAATTTTACAGTGATAACTGTTTGCTGTATTTTTACAGTTCAGTTGTAATTATTGATTTACAGTACTTTTGTAAATTTACAGTTTTACTGGCAACCAAAATTGCCAGTAAGTTACTGTAAATTTTACAGTACATTTTTTACAGTGCACAATCACTGAAGTTGTTGGTCAGTTCCTTTTAAGACTATAGAAGAATAATGGTACATTTAATAAGAGTACAATATATACCTTTTCTACAATAAAAATTAGATTTTGCACGTTACGGTTGTTAATAAAATAAATATCGCAAGCTTCCCAACTCAAGCTTGCTTATTCATCTATTGCACAAAAGCAATATAAACGATTAACACTTGCAAGCGTATGCAGAGTTTCTATTTAGGCTATAACACGTGTTTGCAGCGTTGAGCAATGCAGTGCTAAAATTTGCGTGCTCACGAATCCTCTTATTATAACACACTAATTGTAGACATTATGAAACATTTATTATGCATTAGGGATGTAACAGTATGAAAATTTCATATCACGATTATAGTGACCAAAGTTATCACGATTATCAATATTATCACGGTTTTGTTCAAATTAGATGAAAACATTCAAAAAGAACTGATACACACACTGAAAACATTTCAATAAGTTTTATATTTGAAAATCAACAAACAACAAATACAATTAGCAGCTATATGCACTTTTTTTTAGCATAAACATTAAATTAACATTAACATGAAGGCCTATTAATAATAATAATAATAAATCACTTGAAGATCATGTGATCTTCGGTTAGGAGATGTTGTGATGCTTTTTAAAGCAAAGTTGGGGTTGAGTTCGAGTTCACATACAAACATAAATAGAATAGGTTAATTAAATTTGTCTATTTTAATGTAAGACAACACACAATCACTGAAGTTGTTGGTCAGTTCCTTTTAAGACTATAGAAGAATAATGGTACATTTAATAAGAGTACAATATATACCTTTTCTACAATAAAAATTAGATTTTGCACGTTACGGTTGTTAATAAAATAAATATCGCAAGCTTCCCAACTCAAGCTTGCTTTACTGTCAAGCAGTGTTGAACGCAGAATGCAGTGTTTTATAATCTAGAGATTGTAAAAAGGATGTAGCACATGCACTGTCGAGTCAAGTGTCAGTGGATTAGAGACCTGCTCCCACGAGACCCGAAGCAACAGAGTGCAGCGCGGGACAAGATGGGCGAGTGCTGGTGCGGGCGGGTAGACACTCGTGTGTGTGAACTGCAGGTTAAATGCATTCATGTCCCTCTGTGTGGGAAATTCATCCCATGCAGCTTCTGTGTTTCCTCTGCATTGCAAAGATGAATTTTGATACTGATATCATTTGTTTGGTAACAGCCCAAATGTCTTTTATTCTAATTGACTGATTAAATTTAAGAATTTGACTCAAAAGATGCACACTTTTAGAAAAAAAAAGGCTTTATAAAATGTAAAAATAAATTTAAACTTATTGAAACAGATTAATTTCTATCACTGCTGTGAACGGACCCGCACACAAAATATGAAGGATATCAAAAACAAGTTTTACACGCACACACACACACAAAAGAGTACGTATAGGGACATTTAAGAGGGTTTATTCTCCAAATAACTCTAATTTCATGTTGAAGAAAAATGTGTTTAAAAATTGTGTATGGTCTCTTGTTCCAAGTTACCTTCCTCTCCACTGATTTTTGCCACTCACAAAAGCCACAAAGCCTTCCAAGAAGACAGTAAAGGCTTATATGTCATGCTTGAGCTTTAGTTAGGCTGAAACTTGAAAGTTAAGTTGCACGACATAAATGCAATGTTTCGGTATTATTATTATTTTTAATACTATCATTTTGATTTATGCCTTAGTTTTAGTTCGTACTGTTTACCTTTTTTAAAGTAATGTGAAATAGATTTTTGTATTTTTATTTTTGTATTTTATTTTTTTATTGATATAGTATCAAATATTTATCGGGAGAGTGTATGCTGGTATTTCATAAATTTCATGGAGAAAAAAGTAACTAGTAATGTAACTAACTACTAATTACTTTTGAAATAAAGTAATCAGAACAGTAACGTGATTACTTTTAAAAGGAGTAATCAGTAATTTGATTACATTTTCAGAGTAACTTGCCCAACACTGCTGTCAAATGTGTATAAACATGAAATAAACAAGAAATTAACATGTAATATTATTACTAACTGCACTTATTAATGCAAAACAATAGTATTTTTTTTATATATATTTTTTTCATATCCCTCTGAAATGAAAAGAATACTGCACATTGTAATTTCTATGAGTTAAGTCTATGTATTATCAAAGCATTTGTCAGTAATACAGTTAAAATGGGGAAAATATGTGAACGATTGCATTGCAGGCTGATTTAAGGTGTGCCCCTAAATTTTCTGCTTGTGCTCCTAAAAATTTTCAGTCAGGGGCTACAATGCTCCTAGTACAAATAGTTAGTCTGGAGCCCTGAAAACACTAGTTGCAATATTTCAATCACTAAAAACAGCGGTACATTCTAAAACGTTTAATGTGAAAACACTTAAAGTGCCTTTAAAACAGTGATATTAAAAGATGAAATTAGTACACACCTTATTGATGATGCGTGCTTTATGCAGGCAAGCAAATGAGCCCAGAATATGAGCACAATGCGCTAAATGGTTAAGTGTCTTCTTTATAATCGTATTCAATGGGAAAACATTTAATATTAAACTTTGTGCAGTGTGTTTACATTCTGGGTTCATCTGCTTGCCTGTACAAAGTATGCACGATCAATAAGGTGTATACCAAATTTGGCCTTTAAATATCGCTGTCTTACTACATTACTACTAAATGCAATCCTCCTAAAAAATAACTGGTGGTCAGTTGAGAAAAGCCTAGTTTTGCCCTTCATGTGGGCGTTCCTGTAAGGGTGTGTGATGCCACGTGAAAACTATCAATGGGCAAATGATTAGAGTATTTCACTAGATTTGTAATGAGACTCGTTTGTAAACCTGTTTTCACAGAAGCTGGAGTTGTTAAAATAAAAGCTCAATCGTTTATCTATTGCAAGCAGGACCAAAAATTAACAGACATGCACAGAGAAAATACTGTAGTGGCACAGCACTGTTTATTGGAAGAAAAATATAATTATTGGGGTGGGGGTTTATTTGAATGTATTTCTGAAGGGAATTGACTGTCTTCAGAAAAGTTTCGATGGCCTTTTTTCCCCTCTTACCTTCGATTAATGCATATTAAACTAGTACATAAGTGCATCGCTGCTTTGTTTACAGCGGTAATCAGGAAAATGATGCATCGCTGCTGTTCCATAAGTGCCACCTGCTGTCAGAGAATGAATTTTGCATTTTCATTCAGCCTGTCTGCTGTTTTTGATTTGTGCAGGTACGTTTTAGTATAATTTCACAAAGCTAAAGTCAGACTATTCTGTTTTTGCTTCAAATGTTGAAATGATACAATCATATTTAAAGCAAAAACTGCTCAAGCTACATGTGTGCTGTATCTTTGTTTGTATCGTGATTACAATGCAGTGGCTGGCTCGAATTTATTTTTCCTTTTCTTTTTTTATTAAATATGTTTAGTTGTTATAGCAACTGCCCGTTTTTGCAAAAACAGTTTCATGACCTGGAAAAAAATATTTATGGGCAGTAAATTTTCTCAAGTCACCAGCTATTGGCAGATGTGGCAAAAAGTTAGTTTTAGGCCCTGCTTGCAAGTGTAGAAATTAGGAGAAAAGTATTGTAATTTCCCTACTGTAGAGTAAAATAATATACCTGTGAAATACAAATTTTAATTTATTGTACGGTGCAATTGCTTTACAATATGTATTTTTATATTCTAAATAGTTTGGCTTCCAAATTCACCAGTCTGAGCAGAGATGGGCGATAAATCGATAACAATAATTATCGCGCGATATAAACTTCCTCGATAAATGATAACAAGAGGTCGATAAATGTCCGATATAACCTAATGTTTATGAGGCAAAGGTGGAACGAAAAAAGGCCAATCACTTAAAGCGCGTCACTCGGATCAAAGTTCAAACGGCAGCGAAAACTTCACTAGAGCAATTACTCGCTTATGAGTCACACTTACGCAAACACTAAACAGCGCTGTGAGATCCAGTGTGAAGCGCTTGAGTTCAGCGTTACAGCCAGATGAAACAGCGCTGACAAACAGCAGAAACACTGTGCGCAACGATACAGTCAGAAGGCTTTTTAAATCAAACAAATCACTATCATTTACCATTGAATTACTGTAGTAGCACTTACTGCACCATGTTATTGTGTCAGAAATGTGAGTATTTGTGTAGAATTTTATTATATTATTAATGTAGACATGTATTAAATGTATTGAAGGAGGAGTAATGGAATATAATTACAGTACTTTTAGTGATTAAGCTATAGCGTTTATACTACCGTTTTTCATACAAATACCTAGAAGCCATACTACATTTTTTTCATGGTATTGAGGTGCTATATTTGTGGTTTTAATTGATTATCATGATCTAAATGTATGCTACTATGGAAGACCAATGGTTAAAAAGACCTCAAACAGTCAGAATAATTCAATTTCACCATATAAAAATGAGATTGCTACAATTTTTACAGATATTACTGATTTTGATAATGAACAAATCTATATCTGCATCCTAACTCAAGCTACTATTAAATGTGTGTTTCTAAGAGACAAAAATGTTATATTATAAATATTATCAGGCAACACAAACCTGTTTCTTGATTTGAAACAATATTACTCATTAGAACATGCAGAACTAAGAAATTATTATTTTTTCTATTAAGATATTTATTTTGTTAAGTAAAAATGACTGTAAAAGTGAATTCAGTAACGAAGTGTATGTCATGTTCTGATCATAAAGAATAGTTTAAAACCACAATAAACCGTCTGGTTTTTACAACTTTCACATCTGAGCAAAAATCTGCCATTAAACTTGAAAGAAATAAAATTTGACATTTATCATGATAATTATCTATATCGACTGAATCTGATATGAAAAAAAATATCGCCCAGCCCTAAGTCTGAGTGTAATTTAGACTGAGACACTATATCAAAACCTAAAAAGTTGAGTCCCCTTTAAATTTCAAGTCATTTTAAAGTCAATTTACCAGCTTTTTTCTTTTAGTTTGAACATGGGTTGGAGCTCTTCATTTTAAACTCTTATAAAATGTACAAAATTCACTTGGGGGTCATGCCCCCGGACCCCACTAGAGGGACCGAGGTCCACCCACCACAGTCTCACAAAATCCTGTGGGAAACACTGATGAACTATAAATCAATGATCAGAAGGGCATGTAGTAGATTATATACAGGTTTTTCAGCAAAGTTTTTTCCACAAAAGGGTGGAAATACTGAATTTCGAGACACTGAACCACCGAGAAACAATAAGATGCATCTTACCAGCCAATCCCAGGCCTCCACTAGGATTCCCTCTCATCTCCCTGTCTCTCTGTAGAGAAACAAAAATATAATTTTACTTGAACGGATTTAACCAACATTGTATTTAATTGCTAAGAGCTTTCTAAATGCATTACTTACATTATCCATAAAGCCGCCCATTCTGTAAGACTCCTCACGTTTGCGCCTAATCTGTTCTTCAATTTCTCTCTGCCGCATCATCTCCTCTTCTCTCCTACGGCGTTCTTCTTCTTGCCTGAGGTTGAGAACAACCAATCGGTTAACTACTATTACAGTTTACAGATATTACTGATTTTGATAATGAACAAATCTATATCTGCATCCTAACTCAAGCTACTATTAAATGTGTGTTTCTAAGAGACAAAAATGTTATATTATAAATATTATCAGGCAACACAAACCTGTTTCTTGATTTGAAACAATATTACTCATTAGAACATGCAGAACTAAGAAATTATTATTTTTTCTATTAAGATATTTATTTTGTTAAGTAAAAATGACTGTAAAAGTGAATTCAGTAACGAAGTGTATGTCATGTTCTGATCATAAAGAATAGTTTAAAACCACAATAAACCGTCTGGTTTTTACAACTTTCACATCTGAGCAAAAATCTGCCATTAAACTTGAAAGAAATAAAATTTGACATTTATCATGATAATTATCTATATCGACTGAATCTGATATGAAAAAAAATATCGCCCAGCCCTAAGTCTGAGTGTAATTTAGACTGAGACACTATATCAAAACCTAAAAAGTTGAGTCCCCTTTAAATTTCAAGTCATTTTAAAGTCAATTTACCAGCTTTTTTCTTTTAGTTTGAACATGGGTTGGAGCTCTTCATTTTAAACTCTTATAAAATGTACAAAATTCACTTGGGGGTCATGCCCCCGGACCCCACTAGAGGGACCGAGGTCCACCCACCACAGTCTCACAAAATCCTGTGGGAAACACTGATGAACTATAAATCAATGATCAGAAGGGCATGTAGTAGATTATATACAGGTTTTTCAGCAAAGTTTTTTCCACAAAAGGGTGGAAATACTGAATTTCGAGACACTGAACCACCGAGAAACAATAAGATGCATCTTACCAGCCAATCCCAGGCCTCCACTAGGATTCCCTCTCATCTCCCTGTCTCTCTGTAGAGAAACAAAAATATAATTTTACTTGAACGGATTTAACCAACATTGTATTTAATTGCTAAGAGCTTTCTAAATGCATTACTTACATTATCCATAAAGCCGCCCATTCTGTAAGACTCCTCACGTTTGCGCCTAATCTGTTCTTCAATTTCTCTCTGCCGCATCATCTCCTCTTCTCTCCTACGGCGTTCTTCTTCTTGCCTGAGGTTGAGAACAACCAATCGGTTAACTACTATTACAGCGAGGGTTTCCAGAACCACAATACATTACATCAAACATACCTGAGCTGCATCTCTTTACGTTTCTGCATCTCCTGACTGTGCAACTCTTCCATGCGACGAAGTTCCTCCTGACGTCTAAGAAGGTCTTTTGAAACAAAATTATCACCCAAATCTATTATTCATCCCATAATCAAAAAGGCCATTCATAAATAAACTAACTCAGCAGACACATCACTCACCCTGTCTGAGCATGTTTGCTTGATGCTCATGATAGGCATCTTCCATCTCTCCTTCCAGCTTCTCACGGGCTTCACAAATGTTTTTCTCCACTTGCTGCCTCTGTTGTTTCTCCATCTCATCAAGGGACTTCCATCGCTGGGAGTATTCAAACTCAAAGGTGCCAGGACGGGCAAACCGAGGAGGCTGCTCTCGCTCCCTGAGGTCAAATCAAAGCCGTTAACAATTATGTCTATCGTTATGACCAATAAACCATGAAGAGGTAAAAAATGACTAATTTGAATGAAGAAAGCTGTGCTGAACCTACAAAACTAGGCTGCCAAATGACCCCACTCAAATGCTTGACACACCACCTTCATTTACATGATAAGAAGTCTGTAAATTTTATAACCACCTAATAACAAACTTGATTGCTAATCCCAAGAGACTTTGATTCTAGTCACAGAATGCAAATATATGTGATAAAGCATTTGGAACTCACTTCTGATAACTTGGGTTCTTCTGTGCAAGTTTCTCAGGCAAACCATCCTCATCATCGTACTGCTCTAACAATTCAACCACAATTGGACGAGGAGACCTAGAAAAAAATAAAATGTTTATGCAAAGCAACATTCTATAAACCTACTCCCAAAATTTGCTCTTCTGCCAAATTGTACAAATTAACAGAATTTCATCTTACGATGTGAGAAGGAACACTCCGTCACTGATCCGATCAAGGGCCTTCCGTGCAGCTGGCTTGGAAGAAAACTCAACAATGCCCTTCCCTGTTGAGCGGCCACGGTCATCTACGATAACTACAGCCCTTTCCACCATTCCAAACTGTGAGAAGGCTTCTTCCAGCAGCTCATTGGACACAAAAGGAGACAAGTTGCGCACAGAAAGTGCAGCAGAATGAGTGGCAAAACGAACTCTAAGTGGTCTGCCTTTCATCGGAATATCATCCAGCTCAGCTTTTGCGAGCTCTGCCAAGGCACGGGATTCCTAAAAACATAAGGTTAATTTAATTTAAACGTAAATTTATAAATATATAAATAAATGTATGTATGTATATATATATATATGTGTGTATAGATTTTAAAAACTAAACTACGTAGTACTTTAAAGATCTAAATCTTACCAGTCTGATAAATCCAAAACCTTTGCTTTGATTGATGAAAATCTCACTGGGCTCCCCATACTTTGCAAACAATTTCCTGAATTCAGGTTCAGTGATGTCGTTTGGTAGGTTCCCAATAAACAAACGGCAACGTTGAGTGTAGGTTTTCTCCCCGGGCTTGCGCAGCAAAGACAGCGTTGCCTTCAATTCCTAAAATCAGATATTTACAAAACAAATACATAAATCTTAAGGCAAACCTATCGTGCGGCAAAATGAGAGAAATCAATGCTTGAGTCGTTCGCAGTGCGAACGAACTAAGTTACAACCCTTTGCAACGCACAACTTAAACACGACCTAACGTTACTTTTATCGAACAACTTGGGCACAAAAAAAACACCGAAATGTTAGCAAAATGAGATAAAACACGTTCTCAACGTTAAAAAAAAAAAAAAAAGAAATTTATAAACTATCACGTTTCAATGTATTTTTATACGGACAGAGACACCAGGCGGACCAGTATGGAGCTCAACCTTTGTTTAAGCGTCTACAAAATGGCGGATCTGCCTCATATTCGTAACCCTGTACTACTGAACAAACATGTGTGCTAAAAGTGATAAGTTTATAAACGCTACTTATTCAAACACTTCACTTTCTTACTAAAAACAACACTACTGCATGTTTTTTCTACGTATGAAGCTATTTTACCTGAGAGTGGTCGTCGCTCTTGGTAATCTGTTGTTGTTGCTGTGGCGGTGGTGTCTGCTCCGCGTCTTTCTTCACGGGAACAGGCGGTTTTTGGCCATTTCCCACCCCAACGTTGGGTTGGTTCTTTCTGGGCTGGTTCTGCGGGGACCCGAGGTCCGGGGTCTTCACGTTATTCTGTGGCGGTGGAGATTGTATCTTCGGCTGAGCGGGGCTGGCGGTCTGCTGTGGCGACGGGCCTTTGTTGCTGCTCTGCTGGGCCAGACCAGGGCCTTGCGCCGGAGGTGATTGGACCACTGGCTTGTTCTGATTGAGTTCCTGCGGCTTCTGTGGCGTAGAGGCCTGGTTGGGTTGGTTTCCCTGATTCGGCTTAAACCCGCCACCCATATGGGATCCTCGGTTTTGATAAGGATGCTGGTTTTGATTTCGAAAGTTAGGGTTTCCCATGCCACCGCGCATCCCGACTCCTCCGCGGCCTCGGTGCTGGAATCCTCCACGGTTACGGGAGCGGTCACGAGACATTTTCACACAAGCAGACTAGAATAAAAGTTAAAAATATTTCGAGAGTAGTAGATAAAGTGAAATAACGCACTATATTCAAAAACTACAGATGAGCTGGTAACCTGCACTCCCTAGGCTGGCTGTGTAAAATGGCCGCTGGTTGCGCGACTCGAGAAGAGCATAGAAATGGGAGGGCTGACGTGCTCACGAGCCTCCGCCCAAAGTCCGCAGGGTTACTAGCGCGCTCTAGTGGCACTCATGTTCTCACGCGATACTCTGTCTCGCTGTCGAAGATGAACAGTGGTAAACTACAATGGGTAAAAGCGATTGTTATACTTAAGTACCAACTGAATGTAATGTTTTCAAACACGTAATTGCATGCTATTTACTTAAGAGTGCTTTTTAACCTAATTAAATAGGGCTTAAGTAGCCTACATCTTTATTTATTTAGGCTACATTTTTATTGTCTTTGAAATATGGTCACAGTGTGCTGTCAAATATACTGACAGACATTTTCTAATGAAACTTATATGATAGCCTATGTATTTAAATAATTTGTGATTACACATTTGTAATGAAGTTGCAATTTAGTAGCCTACATTTAAAATATATAAACTTTAAATGTGATCTCTAATAATAACACAAAAGTTAAAATTATAATTAAAATTAAATCCTTTACGCCTGCACCTGAGCTCAATTTTGAGTGTCATGGCAAAGGCTGTGAATACTTATGTACATGTGATTTTGTTTTTGTTTTTTTATTTTTAATAAATTTGCAAAGATTTCAAACAAACTTCTTTCACGTTGTCATTATGGGGTGTTGTTTGTAGAATTTTGAGGAAAATAATGAAT